TGCGTCCCCACAAACACCTGCACACAGATGTTTGCATAAGTTGTATTCATAATTGCCAAAACTGATGGCGACCAAGGTTACACTAGGTAGGTCTTATAAGGAATGAAATCTGCTATGAATAGTAGGCAAAAAGAAGATATTCAGAAAAACCAGACTAGCCCTCAATCACCCCAAAAGACTTAAACATCATTGGAGTCTACATGAAATACATACACCCCGTGAGACACAGGAGAGTGTCATCAGCACAACAGGAGAATTGTACTAAATAGCCACAGCGATAGCCAAGGGACTGGGGCAGGCGTCAGATGTTTTCACAGACAGGGAAATTTGCTACACCATGCCTGTGTGTGTTTTGTAAACTTGCTGACCTGCTGGTTATGTAACCAAATATCCCGGTAGATGGAAGAATGCCGAAACTTAACTCGTATGAAATCGCTCTCCTTGTCTGGGAGGCGGATGCTGTCACCGACCTCTCAGGGAGCTCACCTGCAGGCCCAGATGCGGTGAGTGCACCGGACAAAGGGAAAGCCCGCGACACGATTCTGCCTGCAGCACCTTGGTCTTCCCGTGGCCCCGACATCCCTGACCAGGGCTGGCTCTCCAGGAGGCCCAGGAACTCTGCGTACAGCTTGTCCACAGTAGGTCTACACCATGGAGGTTTCCAGGCTGTCTACCCCTTTCTAAACGTGAAATCTTTGAAAAAGGGATGGTGTCTGACTTTACCAATAAAAACTACCTGATATTACCAATAAAAACTATCAACTCCCCAGGTCAAGCAGTGTAGTTTGCAAAGTATTTTTAATATTATGACTTCAAAATCTGAAATGAAAAACATACATAATAACTACAAAATATGCAAAGTGGCCCAGCCTCCTGCTGGGTAGCACCTGGGCTCTCCTCGAATTCTTTCCTGAATTCATCGCAATGTGACATTTATTTTAAAATGTTCAGAAACACTGCTCTTCCCCCTGAACATCAGGCAGTGTCTTCCATTCTGTAGGCATCCAATGTGTATCTAATGAGTAGAATTTCTTACCTGGGGAAAAACACAAACACTTCAGAAGACAGGAAAAAAAAAAGTAGTACTTCATGTACCAAGATGCTCTTGCTAGGGGAAAAAAAACATTCTTTCTGAAGATGTAATAAGCATTTTTCTCTAATAGTTTAGACTCCTAAGACATTTTCTAATATTTAAAAATGACATCAGCGTCTCCCTGGTATCATGTATTTGTCGCCGCGACTTGGATTGTTCTTACTGAGACTGGATTGTTTCATCACTGGTTACAAGACCTGCTTGTACTCATCAGGAAACACCACCTCTAGACACCACGCCACCTCCTCCTGTGCCCAGGCCTCACCGTGCCTCTGACAGACAGCAAGGACCTTCTATCTCCGAAGGAAAACGTCACCCCCTTTCAGCAGGAAGAAGCTACAGAAGAGACCATGCGCCCCTTTTCTCTGAAAGAATTCAGAGCCAAGATCCTTGAGGGGGAAAATGTTACAGGTAGTTAAACAGACATGAGCAGAGCAAGGACGGTGGGCCAGCTTCAGGCCCAGAAAAGCTGCAGAACCAGACAAGTGGCCCTTTGGCTGCCTGAGGACCAGCTGCATTGACTAATGACCCACTGCCCTGGTGCCGACCAATCAGTGGAGGCCATGACCCTGAAAGAGCACCCTGGAAAGCTGAGGGATATTCTATTGAGACCCTGCCCTGAGACCTCCCCTAAGATTCCGCCTGCAAGAAAGAGAGAAATACACTCAGGACAAAGGACCAAGTGCACTCCCCCCTCCACCACAAGGGAGTGAGCCAGCGCCATCTCCTTCTCCTCTCGGAGGGGACCCCAGGAGACTTCCAAGCAGGGGAGCAATGGGCAGCAGCCACTCGTCCCAGGCTTACCTCTGAACCTGTCTCCAAGGCCCCTCTTCTCTGACTCCCCAGTGAGCCAGAGCAGCCGAGCCTGGGCTCTCCTGTTACTTCCTCTTTGCTCTTCCTTGTTTCACTGTCCTAAGTATATTTTTGCTGCAGTCAATAAATTCTTGCTTTTTCTCAAAAGAAAAAAAAGACATCAGGAATCCAGCTAATTCTACCCGCTATTCTCAAATCTATGAGAACAGTGTCGTTGGGACAGGAAAGGACTTGAGAGCGAGCTAACAGTTTTCAGCTGGTCCACATGCTCACTCTGTACGAGAAGGGCGAGGCTCAGAGACAAGATCACGTCACAGGTCCAGACTTCACGACGGCCTCAAAGGGGTGCATTCAGTACAACCACCCTCCCAATTCTGAACTGACCGTTTCCCCCGGGGCTTATGACACGCGGTGCGAGACCCGCTGGAGATGCTGTGCAGTGAGGACAGTTCCCAGCCAGCTGCGCGGTAAGGGCCAGAGCTTGCTGGGTACCGTGTTTTGTGTTTCACATCCCATCATGTCTACGAAAAGCCCACCCATGTCTCCTGCTTCTGGTGAGGAGAGGAGGGAGGCAATTACTCCAGATGAAACTCTGAGCTAATGTAAGTGTTCCGAGCACCTTTAAGGTCGGCTAGTAAGGCTCTGAGCCTGTTAAGGATTAGTGACCATGAAAAGAGAATATAAATTACCAAATCTCAACAACAGAAATAGGGTAAAATGGACAGACCCCTGGGGTTTTATGAGACTGTAACGAAGGGTCTAAAACTGCTGTCATGAGATCCCCAGAGGAGAGGAGAAAGGAGAATAGGCTGAAAAATACTGGAAGAAACGATGTCTAAAAACTTCCCAGTGTGGCAGAAGACACAAACCTGTACATTCAAGAGGTTAAGTAAACATCAAGTGAGATGAACAAATCCAAGCCAACATTCATTACAGTCAAAATTCTAAAACCGACCAACAAAGGACAAGCCTTTAGAGCTGCCAGAGAGGAATCACACCTTACCTTTAGGGGAAAAGCAATTGGAATGAAAGGATTTCTTATAAACAACCAGAGTCCAGAAGGAATTGCCACAACATGAAAGAAAACTGTCAACCTAGGATCTTTATCTGGCACAAGTGTCCTTTAGGAGGGAGGGGAAATGAGACATTCTCAGAGAGAGGAAAACTTGGACTTCGTTGCTCACATACCTGCTCTAAAAGAATGGCTGGAGCAGGTTCTCTAAGAAAGGGTATCCTGGGAGCAGGGCTCCTGGAGCACCAGGGGGGAGAAAGAACAGCGGGAAAAGCAGAAACGTGAGCTCTCAGACAGGACTGCACAGGAGTGTGCATGGAGTGACGCTGGACCACAGCCACGTGGAAGGCCGTGGGTGCCGGTGACTGTGCTTCAGTCTGTCTCGTGCACACACAAGTCACCAACGTGGCAGACATGCTGGCCGCCCACCCAATAGGCGAAGCTCCCCCTCCTTCTCGGTAACAAAGCCATGCTTTTGTTCTGAACTGAGCATCCATGTGAGGACGGGAGTTGAGTTCCACCCCAGACCTACAGACCGACTTTACAATGGGTCAGAGCCGGCTGTAATTCTATTCCCTTTACCAATACTCGGCTCAGACATGGGCATGACAAGCAGTTCTAAACAAGGGTTAGCATACATCTTCCGAGGACTCATGAGAAAGATTTTACCTATAGATAAAAACACATGCAACGGAACTGATATTGCCATTTTTTCCATAAGGGGAGCCTGAGCCTGAGGATGAGCCCACCTACTACAGAAAACAGGAAGACAGACTTGGTTTCTCAGTGACATCGCTGAAGCACTGAATTCACCAAATCTAGCACCAAATGACCTTTAGACTCCTATTACATGAAATGGTTTTTCTTTTCTGCTCCCCAAACATCACATTAAAATGCCAGAGACTAGCCCATGATATGCATTTACTGTAACTGTACAACTGTTTCTCTACTATTGGATCCCTGGGTTGGTTTCCTGCCTTTTCTTTGTTTCTCAGCTAAAGGGACATGCAATAGGTATCTTTCAACATAAAGCTTTACCTAAATTTAGGGCATACTTTCCACGGACAATGTTCCTAGAAGCAAAATTGTTATGTAAAAAATATTAACATTTCTGATATGAAACATCAAACTGATTTTCAGAAAGCATGTTCTTCTTAAAGCCCTACCTGCCATGGGCCTGGCCTGTCTCATTATATCCCATGCACGGGAGCTGAGGGCTGCTCCCCAGGGTCACTTTTTCCCTTTGTTGGTGACGAAAGAACCTCAGCTTACAAATCCTGATCAGTCTAAGTCAATCTTGGTAATTCCATTCCTCTTGCCAGTGACTGGTCAGAGGTGGGCACGTGACCCAGTGCTGGCCCATGAGAAGTGGAGGTTCTCTGGGTCAAGCTTTGATTCTTAAGAAAAGCGCGAGGCCGTGCCCCGCACTGGACCGCACCGAATCCCTGCGTGGGGAGGGAACCTGCCAGTCTGCAAACACAGCCCGTGAGCAGGGCTAGTTGCTCAAAGTCTAGGATACTGTGGGGCCCCTGAATTAACCAGCCTCAGGACCCTTCCTTGACTCTCTTTTTATACAAGGCAACAACTGTACATGCTCAAAACCTCCACGGCAACTTAGCGGTGCTGGCCATTTTCTAAAAAAATATATCTTTACTGATTTCAGGAAGGGAATATTGAGAGGAAGGGAGAGGGAGAGAGAGAAACATCAATGATGAGAGAGTCATGGGGATGGAGCCCACAAACCGGGCATGAGCCTGACTGGGAATCGAACCTCGATCTCCTGGATCCTAGGTTGACGCTCAACTGCTGAGCCACGCCCGGCTGGACGCCGGCCATGTTTACTCCCAAGGGGAAGCCGCACTACTCTGATGTCACAATGGACAACCCCAAAGGAAACACGTGTCGCTGAAGATTAACTTCAGTTTTAAGTAAGTGCTGCTGAGCAGTCAGTTGAATGTTAAAGAACATTCAAAAAATTATAGGACCATTAATTTGTTCTGTATCTTGGAAAAAAGCATGTTTAACTCAAAACGGTCTTCAAATAGGCAGCAAAGGAAATGAACACGAGGGTGCTGTACTCACAAGTCAAACACCAAGTAGTGGAAGCCCTCCTCCGATATGCTGTCGTGCAGCCGCACTGGGAAGGGAGAGAGAGAGGTCTGGTTAGACGTGCGCGTGGCCAGCAGGTCTCCCGCGGAGCGTCAGCCGCACTCCTCACTCCGACGGGCCCGCGCCCTTCTCAGCAGGATGGGCTCAGGCGGGTCCACGGAGGAGGGTGTGGCTCTGACAGTCACTACCTGTGTGATCATAATCAAACTAATTCGTACTGATAACAGTGCCTGCAGTTTATGAAATGGTTAAACGAGACAAAGTAAAATGATCCCCATGCCGCCTGGTGAATACTTCATAATGCTGATGCTGCTGGAATACGTGCCCATACATGCAAAGTTCCAGGGCTCTAGCAGTTCCCACTGAGCGTCGCTTCCAGCCACTGTTATCACCCCAGTCCAGGTCTTCACCCACTCAGGCCTCCGTCACCACCACAGGCCAACAGGGACCTCTGTAGGAGAGAGTGTGTGTGTGTGTGTACATTTTAATCTTCACACGAAAATATGTCTTTTTCATTGATTCTATAGAGAGAGGAAGGGGGGGAGAGAGAGAGACATCGATCAGCCACCTCCAGTGTGCACCCGGCCAGGGATCACACCCACAACGTGGACATATGCCCTGACCAAGGATCACACTCGAACCCTTTGGTGCACAGGATGACACTCAACCAACGGAGCCACACTGGCCAGGGCTGTAAGTCCAGTAAATGGTCTCCTTGCCTCCGCTCTTCCTCTTTTGCTGGGAAATTTCTACATAGCACTCCCTGGCCAATCTGCCAAAACAGTTTTTATTATTATGCTACTTCTAAACTCAAGTCACCAAAATCCACTTACCAAATCACAGCCGAAAGCGTACAGCTACAACTTCTAATAAAGCAACCTACAGCTCCTCACACTAACACCACGACAACTTTCCTGTGAGCTAGGTCCTACTGGTAACTAGCGGAAGCAAACATGTCTTCCAAACTGAAAACACTGGGCGCCCACCCCACACTCTGAAGTTACCCATACGTGTGGGGCTTCCATACTGCTTTTTCTGCTATTTATTTTTGCATCAGCCTCCCCCTACTTGCCCCCACAGACAGTAAGCTCTTCCTAATGACCCAAATCGCCTGGGTGGCTTGGCTTTCACTGGGCAGGGAATCGACAAACTTGTGGGATAGCATTGCTTCTGAAAAGTCACCCCAGAAGGACAGCGATGTCTCCGTGCAGCGCTGACAACTGTAACTGTCGCACAAACTACGATCACCCGCGGAGGGGCTGCACAGAACCCAGGAAACCCCCAGGCTCAGACCGAATGTGATGCCCACCCCTGAAATCCAGTCACAGCCCCTCCAGTCCCCTGGGTCCGCTGAGGAAATATTTTTTTAATCCCTCCCCAGAAACTTCTCCAAGGCAGAGAGAGCCTTCTGCTTCCCCCGTAACCACAAATTATCATTTGTCCGATGTGGGGTTTCCGTCTCCCTCACACGGGCAGGGCCCGGGAGGTAGGGACTGGGAGTGTGGCTGTGTGGCCGTCTCCCTCTCCTTATCCAGTCTCAGTGCCATGGGGACCTCCTGGAGCAGCATCTCTGGCTTTCGTTAACTAGCTCTAATGGCTGAGCTTCCTTCAGTACGCGGAATTCCTCATCAACAGACCAAACAGGCCCCACATTCTGAGTCTGCGTCGTCACAGGCCTTGGCACCTGGTTTCTGAGCATTTCCTGTCCCGGGCGCTAGGCGTTCTTCCAGCGGTCGGGGACTCTCACATCTCAGTCCACTTATACATGTCTCCCATCAGACGATGGGTGCAGACACCTCCTGGAACTGATCGTGGGGACGGTGTTCTCCAATCTGCACATGTGAGATGCCTGCTGCCTCCTGACGGATGCTTCACAGAACCAGAAGTCTGTGCTGTTCATAGCTCAGCCCAGCGAGGAAAGCAGGGCATGCCGGCAACCCTGGGTTTCCTGAAAGACAGCCTCACGGGTTCCTCACCCAGCACTGGAACACAGTCTGTGTTTAAATAAGCTCAAAGGGTGCGTCTACTTAGAGAACTCAGCTAGTCTGTGAAAATAAGACAGACTTCCTGCTTATCAAAGTCATGAAAAGCAAAACTTCCATGTGAGCCTGCAGGTGAAAGCTCCCACTGGGTGGGCTCTCGGCTGTTCAGACCCAGGAGCGCAGAGCGAAGCAGAGGCGGCGCTTCAGGCACCACTGGGGACTCAGGGCTGACGTCTGGCTGTCTCTGGGATAAAATGTCCTTACTCTAACCACTCCCTCCTTAATAGTTGGAAAGAGTTGTCATTTGGGAGTGAATTATTTTGAACAAGTCAGAACTGCTCAGTGCAGCCTGATGACCCAACATAAGAAATACTATTTTTGGTTAAAACAGTGTCACAGAAGCATGTAGCCAGCAGGCACGTGACGATGATTAGAAACAATCCATTTGTCCAAGTTCACTGCTCTGCATCTCACAATTCCAAACAGCCTCCACGGGTCTAGCAAGCCTTCGGCCAGGTAAGTGAACAACGTCAGGAACACAGCTGAAAACACAGCATCTTTTCGGATAAAATGCACGCATTTCCTTCCCTTATTCCTCAGGACCACCCGCTTCCTTCCACTCTCCTTTAAAATAAAAAACCAGAAAAACAGAACTCAGTGAAATGTCGGTTTCATGTGTCAACCAAACGATGAAATCCAGTCTTCACACGCTGCTCCGCCTGACCCGCGACAGCCGGCTCCTCCGTCCTGGCCAAGCACACAACAGGTCCGCTCAGCTCCTCCTAAGCACACAGGGCTAGGTCAGGGGCCTCGGGGTCTCGGCGACAGGGTCGGCCTCGGCCTTTGGCTGCAACTGACCACCAGCACAAACTTCAAGCAATACTCAGCTTAAAAAGCTTGAGGTGTTAAGCTTTTTCATAAGACTCTGTAAAAATGTTTAAGGACAGGCTTTAGACCCACCGTGAATCAGCAGCCCACTGTCACCTGGGAATGCGCCCTCACTTCTGTTCGATCACCGACTGCCACGGGCCGCTCTCCCCCAGGCTAAAGCAAGTAGAGAAAACCACCCCCAATGACGCCGCCAGCCCTTCTGCGACATGCACGCCCTCAACGCGCGGCTTTGCATGCTTCCAGTTCAAGCCGCTGTTTCCTGCGCCGCCGCGAAGAGTTCCCGACTGCTTCACCCAGTCAGCTCTCACTGTGGGCAGGCACGCGACACTGACCAGCGCATGTGCAGCCAGTGTCCCCGGGAACCGGGCCGCTTCCTGTGGCCTCCACTCGCGTCCTTGCCAGCTGCAACACCCACCCTGGCTCCGTGCGCTTCTCTAAAGGATCCCTCGCTTAACGTGCCCGACTCACTGATGTTGATGCCACAGCCACGGCAACACGACTCACGCTTGAAAAAAGTCTCTACTAACACGTGTGTTTCCGTTTCCTCCACGAGGCACATCCCAGCCTCCGTGAGTTTGGAAACACTAAAGAGCACGTCCACATCCTGCTGTGGGCCATTTAAACAGCAAACTCACCAAAAAGGCACACAAACGTGGCACTAGAAAGGTGGTGAGTCTGAGAGCTGACACGAGGAGTGTCCCCGTCGTGGCCCTCAGCTGGGATGCCCAGGCCAGGCTGCCAGGTGCCACCCTCAGGAGTCTGTGATCACCAGTCAGGATCAAAAGTGGCCCAAGGATGATGGGCTCCCAGATGGACGTGAGAGGCAGGTGAGCTCCAGGTACGGAACCCACGGACCATGAGGGCTGACGGTATTCACACAGGTGGACACGAGCAGGGGGTCGACTCCCAGGTACGAGAATATTAACCTCTGTGGTTGACCATTTATAACATGAAACTTTTTGATATACAAGTTTCATCTGCTTGCTCTACCGTATGAGGCTGCACTTTCCAGACACAACCCTCCTCAGGATTCCTGCGTAGCCAGAATCACAGGCACTATCACAGGACTGGCCGCACAGGGCGGCAGGACACGTGCTGGGTGTCCCCAGCTGCCCTCCAGAGCCGTGTGCAGACCTCTGCCTTCCCTCCTGCCAGCCAGCCAGTCACGATCAGGATGCACCCACTGCCCGCCCTGACACTGTCACCAGGCGGGCCCGACAGACTGGAGAAGGGACCTGAGGATCCTCCAGGAGGAGGCAGAGAGGGGCACCCAGCAGAGACCAGGAGTTCGAGGGACACGGGGTTTTCTATGTCTCTCTGGTGGGGGCAAGAGTGGGAAAGTCAACCCATCATTTCAACAAGGAGAGGAACAAATAGCAACTCTAGCACAAGGGGACATCCAGCCCAACACCTGTAGTGACACGCCCAGTACTGTCCAGCCCTTGTCCACGGGGCAAAGCGGCCTGACAGCAGCTGCTGCAGCAGGAGGAAGCATCCACGCTGGGTCATCCCAGCCTGCACGGGAGGAAGACCCATCCAGCCAGCGGCGCCCTGACGAGCACTCGCAGCGCCTCCTGGTCATCGCGGCCAAGCGCGTCGGAGTGCAGGCCAGCCGAGCCCGGGTCTGTGCATGAACGTCCTCTAACCGCAGGCCAGCTGAGCCCGGGTCTGTGCACGAACGTTCTCTAACCGCAGGCCAGCCGAGCCCGGGTCTGTGCACGAACGTCCTCTAACCGCAGGCCAGCCGAGCCCGGGTCTGTGCACGAACGTCCTCTAACTGCAGACCAGCTGAGCCCAGGTCTGTGCAAGAATGTCGTCTAACGACCTGACGCTTTCTACAAGACCCCAAGAGGAGGCTGGGTCCCCTGGGCGCCAGGGTGATCCGTGCGTGGGCAGTGGTGCCCTACAGAGCGCACGTGGGAGGGGTCCTCTCCAAGGAAGGCCGCCGGGGCTCCGCGGCTGGAGCACCGTCCCATCACCGGCAGGCTGCGGGGTCGATCCCGGTCAGGGCCTGTGCAGGAGGCAACCAGTCGATGTTTCTCTCTCTAAAAATCAATTTTACAAAAACCATGTCCTTGGGTGAGGATTAAATACATTTTCTGAAAGAAAAGTTAAGAAAAGGAGCCTTTCCTACAAGCGCAGGCGGGCGGGCGGG